CACGTTTTTCATGCTAATCCGGAGGAATGTGCGCGCCCGCGACGATTTCGAGAAAATTGTCGTCACAACGCTGCGCGGTGATAATTATGCCCGGCGTGAGTGTGGGCGTCCCCGGCCTGATGACAGAGGGCCGCGTTGCCATGACGACGCGCTGACGGCCCAGGCAATATCGCGACGTCGCGACCCCGTGCTGAGGCCGTGCGGCGGGGCGCTTTGGCGGACCTCGACGGCGCGCATCCAGACGACCAGCAACAAGTACTACGCCGTCTCCGTGGCGCTCGTCGCGCGGGATGGCGCCAAGCACTGTCGCGGGAAAGGTGTCTCAGATAAAAGGAATCGACTCCGGTTTAGCATTCTGTCGTATTTCTGCGATTCTTTGTTTTCGGCGGTTCGGGTTCGCAGTGTGACTGCCGTTGCAGGGTTCCTGTACAGTGGCGCGGCCCGCAGCAGCGCGGTAACACTAGCGCGCCAAGTTCGAGGCCGCCCCCCGCCGCCCCCATCCGACGCGTCGAGTTGGAGCCGTACTGCGGCGGGGCCGCGGTTAGCGCCGCCGTACGAGAAATGGCAAAGACTGTTCGCCAAGGAGTCTCACTCCGCGCGGTGCTCTCGCTCTCTCTCGCACTCGCGGGGCGTACCGATGGCGTGCGAGAGAGACAGCGCCGTGCGGACGCAGCCCGCTGGGCATGCCGGGGCACTGCCAGGCCAGGGCACTGCGCGGCGAGATGAGCGCGCACATGTTTACACGGGGGAGGTGCAGCAGCGGCCGCAGCGCGGGCGGGGCGGGGCGGGGCGGGCGGGGCGGGGCGGGGCGGGGCGGGGCGGGGCGGGGCCGCGAGATTTCCCAAGGGGCGGCCCGACAGGCCAATGTGGCATTTGGCCTCGGGGGAGAGGGGAGGGAGGGGGAGGGGAAGGCGCAAAGATTTGCTAACTGTTCCACTCATGTCTTCGCCTCGGAGTGAGAGTGGAGGTGGGCGTCGATACCTTCCCCAGACAATGGCAGTGCGGCGCCAGTGCAGGCCGTCTCTCTCGCACTCGAGGGGCGGCAGGCAGGGGTGCGAGAGAGACAGGACGAGGCGCGTTACTCACTGCCCGTCTCATTCCCCGGTCCTCGTCCACACTTAGACCTCGGGGTGCTTTGAAGCGGGCAGGAGGGGCGAGGGGCGGTCAGAGAGGAGGCCTCACGCAGGAATTTAAAAGGGGAATGGAATAACTGTGGGGATTAGGGAAGCTCCGCGGAGGGGGGAGGGTGGCAGAGAATGAGCTACCATTGCAGTTCGCTTTCGCCACTCACTCCACCGGATACCAAAGAACACACACACACACACACACACACACACACACACACACAACAACGAACACCCATAACGTAAACGACTCGCCCAAAGAGTTTTCCACCCTGTTGTGTAATATGCGTGCTGTTTGTATTTTTATCAGTGCAGCAGCATCGCTGGGACGGCAATGCCCGGGCTGCATGCATGCATGTGTGGATAAACGGCGATAGGATCGCCACTGCTTTCACTCCGGTCTGGCTGCAGTGGCTGGTTGGCTGCCTGCCTGGCTGCCTGGCTGCCTGCCGCTGCTGCCTTGCTGCCTGCTGCTGCTGCCTGCCTGCTGCCTGCCTGTGCCTGCCTGCTGCCTGCCTGCTGCCTGCCTGGCTGCCCGCCTGCTGCCTGCCTGGCTGCCTGCCTGGCTGCCTGCTGGCTGCCTGCCTGGCCTGGCTGCTGCCTGGCTGCCTGCCTGGCTGCCTGCCTGGCTGCCTGCCTGCTGCTGCCTGCCTGCTGCTCTGCCTGGCTGCCTGCCTGGCTGCCTGCCTGCTGCCTGCCTGGCTGCCTGCCTGCTGCCTGCCTGCTGCCTGCCTGCTGCCTGCCTGGCTGCCTGCCTGGCCTGCCTGCCTGGCTGCCTGCTGCCTGCCTGCTGCCTGCTGGCCTGGCCTGCCTGGCTGCCTGCCTGGCTGCCTGCCTGGCTGGGGGTGCCTGGCTGCCTGCCCTGGCTGCCTGCCTGGCTGCCTGCCTGGCTGCCTGCCTGGCTGCCTGGCTGCCTGGCTGCCTGCCTGGCTGCCTGCCTGGCTGCCTGCCTGGCTGCCTGCCTGGCTGCCTGCCTGGCTGCCTGCCTGGCTGCCTGCCTGGCTGCCTGCCTGGCTGCCTGCCTGGCTGCCTGCCTGGCCGCGTTACACGTGAAACAGCACAGCATCCAATAAGTCGTCGGAAACATCAAAGCCGAAAGAAGGTCGCAGCTCCCAAGTCAACGGCGGACACTTTAAAAAAAAGTAAAATTGCAACCCCACCTTCTTTGGAGAGGATGGGAAAAAAAAGCCTCGCACCTAAATGAGTCAGTGTAATTTTTTTTTGCAAAGTATTTTTAAATGGGACGGCCTTTTTTTATTCCCTTCCGCTGACACGGTGGAATGTCCGACCGGTATAAATTATGTCCCCTAACGAACTTTGGGTCGGGGATCATACTTTGGGGCGTGTTTGCGGAGGGACACTGCGCGACGCGGGGACTTTAAGACTCTTTGCGCTGCCCGTCGGCCCGGCTGGCCCACCCGGCCCCACCGATCCGCCGCCGGCGTCTTGGAATAATTTGAAAAAGCTGCTTTTGTTCGGGTCGCCTCGGACCGGCGGGTCGCGAACCCCCGACCCCGCCCCCGCGGCGCAAAAGGGGAGCCTCATGTCGCAGCTTTGCTCCTTTGTTTTCACATTTAAAGACGATTTCCCGCACGGCTACGGGAAAAAAAGAAAAAAAGCCCTGTGTTCTACTGTTTCACCCCCTGCCTCACTGCCGCGCTGCCCCAGCGTACATAGCCCTCTAATTAATCTGAACCACCCCCTTGAATAATGTTGAAACTTCCCCCCTCCCTCCCCTCCCCCTGGCGGCGGGTCCACGGTGCGTCCTCTGAACCTGGCTGGCTGGCGGCCCCTGGGCCCGCTCGACACGGCACGGCCCGGACACCGCATCCCCTCCTAATGTGAACGAACGCAGGGCCCCCATTTCGCTCATCAATCTACGGGGAGGTCGACACTGCAAAAAAAAAAAAGGCTAAAAAAAGTGAAGGGCTAAATAAAATGAAACAGCATTTCTATTCATTAGGGAGCGAGGCTGAGAGTGCACGGGCAAACTCCATTGCGGGAAAAAGAGGACGCTTTTCCCTCCCCTGCCTGTCGCAATGCGTTTTTCATCGACCCTTTTTATTTTTATCTTTTTGGGCGTGCAAGCGGTTTCTCGGCCGAGCCTGACGGACAAGATGAGCGAGATTTGATTCGCGCCCCTCTCCTTTCGCAGCCGGGCGATGTCGCGGCCGGGCAAACAAATTAATTCCCACCTTCTTTTTGCTCGTCGCCTCATTTCCCAAACACCGGCCGGCCCGGCCTCGTCTTAAGTAAATAAACAAAACGCTTAAAATGAGTAATTAAAGCGGCGAGAGCGCGAAAGGCCTTCGCCTCGCCGCCACCGCGCGGACATCCAAATTGGAACTGCCGTCGCGGCCCTCTGTCTCCGTGTTTGGGAACTTTTTTGCAAAAGTCGTCTTACACTAAAAGTAAATTAAATTGAGGAGAGAAAAACATTAATAAAATTTGCGTTTATAAATGAACGGATCGTCCTGAATGTGCACCATAGTATAACACGTGGACAGAGCGGGGAATCGGCGAACTCCGTGTGTTTCTTTTCGTTTTATTAACTCTTACTTATTTCTGCCCTTCTGCTGGGTGTCTGTGAGTGTGGAGCTCTCCTTTGCACACTCTAAATGTTCTACAGTGAAGATTCTCCATATTATGTTGAAAATGTTCCATATTATGGTGGTGCAGCTGACTTCGTAACATACCATTGAGCATTCACTGTACCTTATAGAGATTTTGACGAATTTCGTTGGTAGAAAATCTCCACCATATTATGTTGGTGCAGCCTTTTACCGTAAGACATTTACTGTGCAGGCTATTCGGTTTCCGGGGATAATTTGACCCCGCCTCCCCCCGGAGGCGTCACGCTGTCGCGGAGTCACGCGCGGTCCCGGGTGGGCTGGCCGCCCTGCGTGACCCACTTGAGTGGTCGTATGATAAAACAACGTATCTTCAGAGGGAATCCCACGGTAGATGCACTGTTATGGACGAATGCGTGACTCTGCGTGGAGGAGTGGAAAAACGTTGTCGGATACAACGGCTTGTCGGTACTTGGCTCGTTGTGTGAGGGCTGGCTGGCCGGCCGACTGGCGGCCGAGGCTGGGCCAGGCAGCGCGCCAAGCCTTTCTCGAGGAGGGCGATGAGGCGTGTAAGACCCTTAGCGGTGGTTAGCGGGACGGCTTGTTGCGCAACGGTTGCTGGCGCGTGGAGGGGGCGGGGGCACGCTCAAGCGGGCCGCAAGACCAGTGGGGGCGGTCAAAACCCTGGACACGTTCTGAGCTCCAGAGTCGCTGAATTGGACTCAAAGGGAACGTGTGACCTCACCAATGGATTCCTCGTTCGGAGAGCAATCCATTGGTAAGGTCACACCTTCGGTCTGAGTCCCATCTCTAGAGCTCAAAACGCGTCTAAAGTTTTTGCCGCCTGCGCCGGTCCTCTGGCCCACTGTGGGACCAGCTCCGCCGTTTTTGCTGTACTTCAATGTAGTGTCTGGCGCTGGACTGACGCTGCAAGCGACACCCGTTTCAACCTCGGCGGCACTGTGTCGCGAACCAAGCAAGATGTCGATCGATTCGACACACGCCACTCCACCTCGCCTGGCCTTGCCTGGCCTTGCCTGGCGTGTCGATGGAGGTCTGCCGTGCTTCCGCGTGTTTGTCTTTGATGTTTGCCCTGTCGGCCCCAGGCTGCCAGGCAGGCTGCCATAGCCAGCCCCTAGGCGTCAGGCAAGGTACAAGTATTGTGCAGGATGACCCACATCCACCCCCTTGCCTTGCCTGGCCTTGCCTTGCCTGTATACAGTGTACCCGGGTCGGGTGACGATGGGCCGGCCGGGCCGCCTGCGCCAATGTTATCCTATTTCGACCGTGTTTTCTCTGTGTGCAGGCGAGTGTGCGAGCGCGCTGGGCATGGAGGCGGGCCATATCCCGGACCACGCCATCACCGCCTCCTCGTCGTACGAGGCCAAGTCCGTGGGCCCGCAGAACGCCAGGTGAGTAACGGGGGTTTTTAAGGCACGCTGGAGAAGCTGACTGGAAGCAGGCCGCTGGAGGCAGGCCGCTGGAGGCAGGCCGCTGGAGCTAGGCCGCTGGAGGCAGGCCGCTGGAGGCAGGCCGCTGGAGGCAGGCCGCTGGAGGTAGGCCGCTGGAGGCAGGCTCCTGGAACCAGGCCCCTGGAACCAAGCCGCTGGAGCTAGGCCGCTGGAGGTAGGCCGCTGGAGGCAGGCTCCTGGAACCAGGCCCCTGGAACCAGGCCGCTGGAGGCAGACCGGGATGGGACAAAGGACTGCGGTGCCAGTTTAATGACTCCCTCCTGTGTCACAGACTGGAGGCCCCAGCGGCCCGGCAGAGGGTCCGCGTCCCGGGCCGGCTTTGCTCTCAGGAAGGGGGCCCCGTTGTCAGAGGAAGGGATTTGGCGGGGCCTCGTGGGGCGGCGGGGGCACGGGGGCTGCCGAGGGGGCCTCGGGGAGGAAGAAGGGGGAGGCACAGGTGTCGCCGCGGCACATCATATTGGCGAGGTCCTTTCTGCGGACGCCCCGGGGTAACGAGCAGCGAGTCTGGGAAGAAGCTTGTGGACGCCACTTGGCGGACACACGCCAGGACCCAACACTGTGAAAAAAATTAAGAGAAATCGTGTTGAAAAAGTGACACTAATGAATGCCTTTGGACATTCCTGATGTTCGTAGGGTTTTCAAAGGATATGAAAATTCACTTCTGTTTCAAAATATTTTCATAGTTAGCCCCTGAAAGGATGCAGTCTCTTTGCCAGCGTTTCCGACAAAATCTGCGGATATTGTAAAGGGCCCCCGCCGCTCTGCCGCCGCAATATTTATTTTTCCCAGTGCCACTTGACTCCCCCCCCCCCCCTCCTCTGCGCCGTGTCGCACGTCGCAATAACAGTGTCTGTGTGCATAAGGCACGCGGCGGCGGGGCGAGCTGGGGCCCCGTAAGAGGCCTGGGGGCTTAGTCGCGCTGCAGGCATGCAGGGCCACGGCCTGGGGCAGTCTGAGGCCTCAGACCTCGGCCTCGGCGTGCGCCGTCGTGTGCACGCCCCCGAGCCCGAGAGGCCCGAGGCCACAATACAGCCTTTATGCCGCATTCTTTGCACTACCTAGTCAATTTCAAGCGAGGGTAAATAACCGGGGAGGCCTCCGGCGCACAGTGGTTCAGAAACAGAAAAAGCTGTGCAAAAGAGATTGGTTGCAGGCCGTATAAGATATTGGTGTGAAACCTTCATCCTGGGGGTTTTTGGGGTCGCCGAATTCATTCCTGAAGTTATTTTGAACCATTGACGTAACGCTTAGTCACTAGCGTTACTTTTTTTTTATTTTTTTTTATTTTTTTATTTTGGGGGGGGGGGGGGACTGTATGTGTACTGTACTTGTACATTTTCGGGGTCACTGAATCTATCCCTGATGTTACTTTGGACCATAGCCTAACGTTTAATTACTAGCGTTACTTAGTTTTAATTTCAGTTTTGAACGCTGTGTTTATTCCTTTGCTCCTACGTTTTTGGGGTCGCTGAATTTATTTTTGATTTTATTTCAAATCGTGGACGTGCCCCTTTCATACAGGTATAACGTGTATTTGTGCATCACCTTGTCTTTCATTTTTTTGGGAAAAAGGGTTTTAAAGATATTATTAAAAGAGACATCAGTTACTATTATCCATTTAATGTCGGCTATCGGCGCGTTTTGAGGCCGGATATGCAGGTATATGCAAAAACGGTGAAGTGCGCTCGAAAGCTGACATGATAAGCTTTAATATGAGCCCAAGATCTCCAGGTTCCAACAGGTTCCACAAAAGTTACAGGCAAATCTTTTTGAAAAGTTGTCGAAAAAACAGTGTTTGCTGCAAAGACAGGGGTAACGAGCAGCGAGTCTGGGAAGAAGCTTGTGGACGCCACTTGGCGGACACACGCCAGGACCCAACACTGCTAAAAAAATTAAGAGAAATCGTGTTGAAAAAGTGACACTAATGAATGCCTTTGGACATTCCTGATGTTCGTAGGTTTTCAAAGGATATGAAAATTCACTTCTGTTTCAAATATTTTCATAGTAGCCCCTGAAAGGATGCAGTCTCTTTGCCAGCGTTTCCGACAAAATCCTGGATATTGTAAAGGGCCCCCGCCGCTCTGCCGCCGCAATATTTATTTTTCCAGTGCCACTTGACTCCCCTCCCCCCCCCTCCTCTGCGCCGTGTCGCACGTCGCAATAACAGTGCTGTGTGCATAAGGCACGCGGCGGCGGGGCGAGCTGGGGCCCCGTAGAGGCCTGGGGCTTAGTCGCGCTGCAGGATGCAGGGCCACGGCCTTGGGCAGTCTGAGGCCTCAGACCTCGGCCTCGGCGTGCGCCGTCGTGTGCACGCCCCCGAGCCCGAGAGGCCCGAGGCCACAATACAGCCTTTATGCCGCATTCTTTGCACTACCTAGTCAATTTCAAGCGAGGGTAAATAACCGGGGAGGCCTCCGGCGGCGGCCCGAGCGGGGAGTCTGCGTGGAGTGGGGCCTACTTGTCCCAGACACACACACACACACACACACACACACACACACACGCAGCGCCGCGTGCGGGCCGTTACTTGTCTGCGTGCGTACGCTGGCTCGGGCTGCGTGCTCGCGGCTTGGTGGCGGCTCGGCAAACGACGCCAAAACTCTAGAAGCGTTCTTGAGCGCCAGAGTCGCTAAACAGGACTCGAACCCAACGTGTGACCCCACCAACGGATTCCTCGTTCGGAGAGCAATCCATTGGTGGGGTCACACGTTCGTTTTGAGTCACTATCAGCGACTTTGGGGCTCAAAACGCGTCCAGAGATTTGGCCGCCTGCGCCGGTCTCCTGGCCCGCTGTGCGCTGAACGCCCCGGGCCGCAGTTAGACACGCGCTGCGCTGCCCCCTGGCGGCGGTCGAGAGCGCAAACACTGCGGCGTGCACAACGTGCAGCATACGGCGATGCGTTTATATTTTATGTCCTCTAATTCCGTCTCCCTCCCTCGCCCCCTCCTTTTTCCATCACGGCGTCCTTTTGTTGGGTTATCTCTCTCCCACCTCCCTCCCTCCCCCGGAGGAGACTTGCCGGGGCCCGAAGAGGAGCCTCCACAAAGGGAATTGATGACTTGTTTCCCCTGTCTATATTTTCCCTTCTGTGTGTGTGGTGTGTGTGTGTGTGTGTGTGTGTGTGTTGGGACGGGGCAGATGTACATACCGATACCCGGCTCTGCGGCGCTCTGCGGGCTGCCGATACGGCTCCGAGTGGAAGTTCGGCCCGCGCTTTTGCCTTTGTGATGCATGCCGGGAAGGAAGCGCCAGGAGGGGGGGGGAGGGGCGGGCTTGGCTATGCAAGTTTGCCCGGGAAATCGCGCATCTCGCGCTCAAAGACGGGGTGTCCCCCTCCGCATCGTCGATGACGGGGAATGACTACTGTCGAGTGCAGTGGAAAAGGGGGAGGGGCACTTCTTAAAACGGCGACCTTCAACAGTGGACTCCGTTACGGACGAACTCGCAGAGCGCGACACGAACCGTGGAACGTGTCGCCTGTTTGGAACTGCAGACCTTTCGGGCGAGACGACGAAAATATTCCACACACACACTTTCACACACACGCGCGCGCGACCGCCTTCGGGCGATTGTCGTCCAAAAGTGAATCTGCGGTGATTTTTTTTTTCTCGGGCAACTGCACGCGAGCAGCAGGCAGAAAGAAGCCGCGGTACGGCGGTGGCGGTACACAGGGCAGAGATAGGAGCAGTCTGCCCAAACAGCCCCGGGGCAGACCGGGCGGGCAGGCAGGCCGAGGACGCCGACGAGGGTACTCCGCGGCGCACGCGACGGCGGTACAGAGCCCCCGTTGTTCCCGGCTTTCACCCCCCCCCCCCCCCCCCCCGCCGGCTCACAATGAAATCCCGGCCGCACCGATAGAAAGGCTTTCCCCCCTCCCCCCCACTCGCTGCTTTTCGCCCGCCTTTCTCCGGCCAATCCTTCATCGGCCCAAATCCGATTGCGTCCGCGACGTGCATTTTGTGAATATTTTAACGCGGGCTACTCCCCGGCGCGAAGCGCCCCCCCCCCCCCCAAAGCGCGGGCCAGTTTGGTTGTTGTTTTTCCGAACGGGACAACAACAACAAAAAGTTGTAGCGATCGACCGCCTGATCCTGGCGAAGGTAAACACACTGTGCAGACGGGCTGCGGTCCACTGATGGGGAAGTTGGCGGCGCACTGTTTGAAAAAGCGGGGAACACAAAGTGGCCGCGGACTCAAATCAAAGCGCTGCTGGATTTGGAGTTAGTTGTATTTGATTTTTAAAAGCACATGCTCGCGGGGTGGAGAAAAAAGGTGGAAAATAAACAGAAAGTGATAAAGGTCGGTGCGAGGCGAGGTTTTTCCGGGCTGTGTTCTCGCACGGCGCAAGCTTTTCCCTCCACTCGGGCCGCGTGTACAGCAGCAGCGGAGTAAGCTGAGCAAAGGCAGCAGCGGGCCGCCGGGCCGGGCAGCACTAAATGATGAATGGATTTTATTTTGTGCAGGCCGGGATCTGCATAAAGAATTCCTTTGAAGGGAAGGGCCAAGCGATTTATGTGGACTGCATGCACTCCATCCGTCTGCGCCTCGCCTCGGATAGTTTTCGGACCACGCTATTTTTTCCGTTTTTTTTTTTTGTTATTTATTTTTTTGTGGTGACGTGAGGGGCTTTCTTTTCAACGTCCATCTATTCGGCTGTTCGTCTCCTCGCGTGTCCATCGTATTTCTTGTTATTTTTTTCTTCTTTCTCTCCTTTCCGTGTCCTGTCTGCGCCTTCCATGCCCCGCAGAGGAAAAGCAGGCGGCGGTTTTTTTTTCCACTCAGAGGCCGTGCCGCCCGTTACGTGCTCCGGGCCGCGTTTCATACTTCGACACCACAATTAGGCTCGTCCGGGTTCAGTCAGCGAATCACGTTCTTGGCTGAAAATCCGACAGAGCGCCACCATTCCCCTCCTGAACAACCAGCCATGTCTGAAAATCAT